TTTCAACATAAAGGTTTTATGCATCTTTTATCAGATTTCTACCTAAGTATTTCTTATTTGGGATGCATTATCACTGGTATTTTTATTTCAGGCTCTGATTGCTCTTTGCTAATATGTAGAAGTAATGTATTTCCCACCCAGCTAAACTTATTAGTTCTAGTGATCTTTTTGTAGGTTTCATGGAATTTTCTAAATAGGTTTTCATGTTATTTACAAGTAAAGACCGTTTTTCTTCTTCCTCTCTTGTGTGGCTGCATGACATTTGTTTTGTTTTCCCTTTTACAATTCCTAGAACACGTGTTACACTGTTGAATGGAAGTGGTGAAAGCAGATATCCTTGTAGTATAGGGACAGGGCTCTTAGGAAGGAAGGATTCAGTTTCCTGCCATTAGGATGATGTTCACTGTAGGTTTTCTGAAGATGCCCTTTAAAATGTTGAGAAACTTCCTTATATTCTGTCTGCTAAGAGTTTGGATTAGAAATGGATGGTGGTATTTGTCAGGTGCTTCCTTTATTAAGATGATCTTGTGGTTTTCCTTTTTTATAGTTTGTTAAATTAGTGAGTCCAATAAATTTTTTTTACAGATGTTAGAGCAACTTTACCTTTCCACCTTGGTCATGATGTTTATCTTTTGCACACCTGCAGCCTTCACTTCACAAGGTACTATTTTCACTGATACATGTCAGTTATGAGAACTATATCCTCTCTCTGCTCAGATCTCTGATATTCAAAGGCAGAGGCATGGTTCCAAAATGCTAACGTATCAGGAAATACAGTCCTTTGCAAAAGCAAGATCTGACTGTACTGCTAAATTTTATTTACTAGAATTTTATCTTAAAATTTCATATATATATTCTTGAAGGATATTAAGCTATAATTTTCTTGATTTTGGTGTGTAATGGTAGCTTTATCGAATGCGTTGAGAAGTATGTCTTCCTCATCTATTTTCTGAACTTTGTGTAGAACTGGTATTATTTTTTTTCTAAATATTTGGTACTCTGTGACTTTAAAAAATTCATCCATTTCATCTAATTTATTGATTGCATTGGCACAAAGTTTTTCAAAGCATTCCCTTTTAATATCACTAAAATCTATACTGATGTCAGCTCTCATCCTAATTCTATATCTTCTCTCTCTTTTTAATTTTTTTACATGGACATTCTGCCTGAAAACATCTTTGCAATGTGTGTGTGTGTGTGTGTGTGTGTGTGTGTGTGTTTGTGTACACATATTTTGTTTCCAGTGATTTTCTTTTGTACTGTTTTCTGCTTTATTCATTCCCTCTGTTATTTGCTTTTTTCTGCTTACTTCATGTTTCTTTTGCTTTTCTAAAGGAAGAAACTGAAGTCATCAGTACTCATACTTTGTATGACTTGAGTTCTTATGTTTTAATAGTACAACCAGTCCAGCCTTCTTTTAATTTGCTTAGTCTGGTATGTTTTTTTTTAAATATGTACGTATGTAATAGCTTTATTGGGAGATGACCAGCATACTATATAATTCACCCATTTAAAGTATATAATTCAGTGATTATTAGATATCAGTTACATAGCCATCCTATAAGTTTAGAACATTTTCATAGTCTCAAAACAAAACCAGTACCCATTGAATCACACCCCACTGCCTCATACTCCCCTGAGCCCTAAGCAACTTTTCATCAGATTTGCCTGTTCAGGACATTTCATATAAATGGAAATCATACAACTTGTGGTCCTTCCTCTTTAATTTAGTATGTTTTGAAGGTTTATCCTTCTATCTATCATAATGTATTCATTTTTTTTTGAGACAGGGTCTCACTGTGTAGCCCAAGCTGGCCCTAAACTCACTATGTAGATTAGGTGGCCTTAAACTTGAGATCCTCCTGCTTCAGCCTCCTGAGTGCTGGGATTAGGTGTGTGCCACCACACTAGGCATAATATATTCCTTTTAATAGTCAAATAAAATTATATTTTATAGCTATATCAAATTTTGTTTATTCATTCATCAGTTAATGGAAATTTGAGTAGTTTCTACCTTTTGTTCTTGTAGGAACATTCGTCCATACAAATTTTGGCATGGATAAATGTTTTATTACTCTTGGATTGTCCTAGAAACAGGATCCTGGATCAAATAACAATTCTGTGTTTAACCTTTTGAGTAACTGCCAAACTCTTTACCAAAGTTGTTGTAGCATTTTATAAGCCTCCCAGCAATGTATGTCAGTCCCAGTTTCTCTATATTCTTTCCATCATTACCTGTTATCTTTTTTCCTTTGGGTTTGCTTGCTTGCTTGCAAGTTTGCTTATTTGTTTGTCAGTGTCTTTTAAGAGACAAGGTTTCACTGTGTTGACCAGTCTGACCCCTAAATCTGAACTCCTGCTTGAGGCTCTGAGTACCTGGGACTACTGGTGCATGCCCAGCTGCAGGCTAGCTTTGTCTTGTCTTATTATAGCCGTCCTATTGTGGTCAGGTGAAAACTCAGTGGATTTTGATTTGGACTTCCCTAATTGCTGAATTGTTGAACATCTTTTGATGTACATATTAGCCATTTTTATTTCTGCCTTAGAGAAATGTCTATTCAGATCCTTAGTCCATTCTTAAAATTGGGTTGTCTTTTTATTGAGTTGTGAGAGCATTTGTGTATTCTTAATATAAGTCATTTATCAGAGATATGATTTGCAAAATAATATGATTTGCATTTTTACATTCTATGGGTTATTGTTTTGCTTTCTTCATGGCTGGTTTGTCTTATCACTTCTACTTGTAAGCCTATTTATTTCTTTATATTTAAGGTTGATTTCTTATACGTGATCTATATTTGAGTCATAGTCTTTATTCCAATCTGACAATCTGCCTTTCCATTTGTATTTAAACTCTTTATATTTCATACCAATATTGCTGTGGTTAGACTTAAGTCTGCCATTTTTCATTTTGGTTGTTATGGGGGTTTTCTGGGGTTTTTGTTTGTTTATTTGTTTGTCTTTTTTCCCTCTGCTTTCACTTGAATTGGCATAATATTTTTTTGGTTCCATTTTATCCTTTTGCTCACTTATTTACTATAAGTCTCATTATAGTAAATACTTTAGGATTTAATGCAGACATATTCAAATGCTTTTATACCATTTCACCTATGGCTTCCAAACCTTAAAACACTGCATTTATTTCTTTTCTCTTTTTCTGCCCTTACTGCTATTTTTTCCACTCATTTTACATTTGCTTATGTTGTCAGTGCCATACTATGTTTGGTTTTATTTGTTCAAAGTCAGTTCTTTTTTAAAGACATTTAAACAAGAAAAACATACTATATAGCTACATTTTTCACATTTTGTGGAACAGTGTTCTCTTTCCTTTGTGTAGATTTCATCTAGTATCATTTCATTTAGTATCATTTTCGATCTGCCTATAGACTTCCTTTAACATTTGTTACAAATGTCACAAAGTATTAAGGCCAGGCACAGTGGTCACCCCTGTAATCCCAGTTACTTGGGAGTCAGAAATTGGTCCCTGAGGCCAACCCAGGCAAACAGTTAAGGAGGCCCCATTTCAACAAACAGGCCAGGCAGTGATGTCTCACATTTGTGATTCCTGACTACTAGAAGGCATAGGCAGGATGATTGCTGTCCAAGGCCACCACTGGGCAAAAACATGAGACCCTATCTAGAAAAATAACTGAAGTAAAAAAGGACTGGGGGTGTGGCTCAAGAGGTATAGCATTTACAAGGCCCACAGTTCAAAACCCCAGTGCTTCCAAAAAAAAAAAAAGAAAAATGGTGACATAAGTGACTACATAAATATTATATACCTTTTAGTGAAAGACACTGTCAACAAAATATTATAAAATAAATGGTTTGGAAGAAATGATAATAGAAACACAGATACCAAATGTGTGTTGGTCTCTGTACCAGACACTACACTAAACACCTTGTCATTCATCTCATTTAATACTTATAACAGTCATTTGAGATATACTATTTCCATTTTACAAATAAGTACATAGAGTAACAGGGAAAGTGTCCCAAACAATCAGAGATCTAAAAATTCAATATGAAAAAAAAATTTAGATGGCATTTCACAGAAGTATGAATAGTTCATAAACATAATAAAAGACTCACCTGCTTATAATCAAAAGGATTTTAATCTATTCAACTGATAAGAATAGGAAGCAATGCTGATAATAATTGGAAAAATATGAAAGACACAATCACATACTATTGGAAGTATAAATTGCTACAGTTGTAAATGATCATTTTGCTTCACCTATTGACTTTAGAAATATATATATTCTTTGGCCAGATGTCTGTCATCTGGCAATCCTTGTACAAATTCCCAAGACATGTATATGTCTTGTATATGTATATGTCTGCATGTGTGTTTTTTTTTAATGGAGAACAGTTGGCAACAACCTAACCATGAATTTTCAAATGGTAAAACAAATGATACCTCAGCCATCATGATAGCTTAGACTTACACCAAGACTAAGGAAATAGGAATTTGCTACTGGTGAGAGGTACAAGATGATGCAACCTCTCTGGAGAGAATTTTCAAAATAGGTTCTTCAGTCAGACAGTATCTCTTTTTTCTATGAATATGCTAAATTAGTGGAAACAAAAAAGTTACAGAAAACTATGTATAGAAGAACCAAATGGGGTTAGATGTTTTCATTTTATAAATAAATGGATAATGACTAGTCTAGGAATTCAGTAATGGAATACAGAGTCAATGACTATGGAATAAGAAGGAAGGAAGGAATGATTCAGAAACTCCATATAAAAAGGAGAGAGGCCAGAAACTGACGAGCCTCAAAGAATCAGAGGATTTTTGCCAACGGTTGCAAAAAAATAACCAACAACTTAAGTCTTTTTACCACACAGTATGATCATCAGTTTGGTGTGGAGATTTTTACATGTGATTTAACTCTATACCACTTACCATCTCCTTTGATTCTAGAAAATTCAGCACAAGTGCTGCTGCACACCACTGATGTGTTATATTAACTCAATGCCTTTTGTTTGTCATACAGCAACCAACAGGCCTTCTTACTGGAGAATGTCCCTTGTAATAATGCGAGCTGTGAGGAAGTGCATCGGATGTTTAGAGTTTACTGGGAGCTGACGGACCTAAACCTAATCAAAGATGCCATGGTTGCCACCTTTTTTGACATTTACGAAGATGTGAGTTCAGAACATCCTCTGTGTGTGAAGTTTAATTGCAGTCTCCCTGTAGATGACATAATGAAAGTAAAGAAAGTATTAAAGAAAGGTCCTTTTGATGTTAAATTAGAGAGTGAGCAGATTTATTGACACCATTGGCTGATGACTACAGTGAAACATGAAAGTGCCTTATCTCAATTTGTACTTATTTGGATTAAACCACCAAAGAATTATGTCTTGAGACTGGCAGAGCTGCATGATGAGGAATGGACAAAGGCAGCCAGCAAATAATAGATTCTTGAACCTGCACAAGGTGGCAGAAAAATGTGTTCTTCCTTGTGAACTACAAGTAGCATCTATTGCTACACATTCCTGTGATTCTGTCTTTGGTGCCAGGTGACCTGGTGAGAGGCTTTCCAGGGTCCTGGTTTCACACTTTCTAAAGTATATACCTAAGTGTTTTATGTTTGTTGGAAATACTGTTGTGTTTTTAAGTTTGGTTTTTCATATGTTTGTTTTTGTTATATGGAAATGAAATTGATTTTTGTTCTTATATACTGTAACTTTACTCACTAAAAGTAATTGCATAAAAGTAATTGACAGAACTACCACAAGGGAGAAAAATCAAGAGAATTGAGTTCAAATCAATTTTTAATTTCTATCGATCAAAAACACCACAAAACTTTTAAATCTGCTAAGTAAATTTGTTACAGATGAGTCAAATAGTTAATATCTTTAATACAAAAAAGGTTCAAACAAACTGGTATGTCACCAAAAACTCTCTTGAAAAATTCATTATATTCAATTTATAGGAAAAACCCTGTATATAAAAATATGATAAATGACCAGCCTTATGAGAAGAGCCAGAAGAGTGTCAGTTTAAATGAACATGTATTTTTTTTCTTCAAATTACCATAACTTTACCCTTTTTTAGGGGAAAAAAGATAACATTTTGTCATTGCAAGAGGAGATTAAAAGGTGTCCTCTCTGGTGGTTGGAGAGGATCTAACGGTCCCTGTCATAGGCCTCTAAAAATTCATGCAAATATGCCCAGAAGGAAATATAACCAAATGCTACTAATTATCTCCAAAGACTAAAATTCAGTATTTCCCATTTTGCTTATGTTTAGCTATTTCAAAGTTGTGTGCGTGCATATATTTTTATAATTTTATAATATTTTATAATATTTATAATATTAATTTTATTATTAATATTATTAATATTTATTAAGAAAGGGAAGAAACTGGAAGGGACTGGGGTCCAAATACCCCTTTAAGAGCATGACCCCATGACATAACTTGCTTCCAGTAGGCCCCATATCCTAGAGGTTCTACCACCTCCTAATTGTGCCACAGGCTAGCAATCAAGCCTTTAACACATGGCCTTTGGAGAACATTTATCCAAACTGTACACAAGCCATACATGTTAATGATCATTGTTTGTAGTTTATCTACAAGTTTATTCTTACCACTCTTTTTATATTTTTTTCCAGGGTATCTTGGACATTGTAATGCTAAGTAAAGGATATGCAAAGAATGATTTTACCATTCATACACTGAAAAATAACTTTGAAGTGGATGCTTATTTTGTTAAAGTCATTGGTGAGTATTTTAAATATTACCATTTAATTTATTTCCCTCCTTCCTCCTGTTTCTCCTGTCTTTGCCTGGTTTTTGGATAAGTATAATACTGGCTTCATAAAATGTGTTAGGCCATTTTCCTTACCTTTCTATTTCATGGTACAGATTAAGGAGAGTTGGTATCAGTTCTTCTTTAGAGGTCTGATAGCATTCAGCAGAGAATTCATCAGGTCATGGACTTTTCTTTTTTGGGAGACTCTTGATTACTGATTCAATTTCATTTTGTGTTATAGATCTATTCAGTTGACTAATGTCCTCTTGGTTTAGTTTTGGATGATCATAAGTATCTAGAAATCTGTCCATTTCTTTAAGATTTTCAAATTTATTTGAATATAGGTTCTCAAAGTAGTCTCTGATGAATCCCTGGACTTCCACGGTATTTGTTATTAGCGCCTCTTTTGCATTCCTGATTTTACTAATTTGGGTTTTTCTCTCCTCATTTTAGTCAGTGAGTCACTGATAAAGTAAGTGAGTTCTGCATTTTCTTTTCACAGGTCTTGAGTTGTTTAACTAGAAGTTCTTCAGTTTTTCTTTTAATTTCATTTCATCTTCAAGTTCTGAGATTCTGTCTTCTGCTTGTTCTATTCTGCTGGATTAGTCTTTCATTTTGTTTTGCATTTCTGTTTTGTTCTTTTTTCTGAGGTTTTCCATATCCTGAGTTACTTCCTCTTTAACATTGCCTATTTTTGCCCTGAGTTCATTTATCTCTTTATTAATTGTGTTCTTTGTTTCACTTTGGTGTTTATACAGTGCTTCTATGGTTTCTTTTATTTGTTCTTATGCTTTCTCAAATTCTCTATTTTTGTTGTCTTGGAATTTCTTGAGTGTCTCCTGTACATTTTGGTTGACCATATCCAGTATCATCTCTATAAAATTCTCATTGATTACTTGCAGGATTTCTTCTTTTAGGTTGTTCTTGTGGGCTTCATTGGGTTCTTTGGCATAGTTTATCTTTGTTTTGTTGGAGTCTGGATCTGAGTGTCTGTTTTCTTCATTTCCCTCTGGTTCCTGTACTAATTTATTACTGGGGGGAAACTGGTTTCCCTCTTTTTTCTGTCTTCCCATCATTGCCCTTACTATTGTTACTGTCCCTGTACTGTGTGTAATTCAGTATTGTCTAGCTTGTAATAATAACAATGGTGATATCTAGAATGGAAAGGTGAGAGGAGAGGGAAAGTAAAGAAGGTAATGAAAAAGAGAAAAACAAACAATTGAAAAAACAAACAAACAATGACAAAAAACCAGTGACAAAGAAGTAAACAGGGAGAGGTAGTTACTAATCAACAGTAAGCTAAACAGGCATTAGAGAGACAGAGAGAGGATTAAAAAAAAAATCCCCAAGTTCAAATGCAATAGTTTCATTCTTAATAATTTTGGTGTTAGCCCCTCAGCCTC